CTATTATGTATTTTTCTAAAACTTTTCTTCTCTGAAATGACAGCTGCTGGGATACAGTTTCTTATAACACACAATGTTCCCATGGTGTCAGTCAAGGATTAGGAAATGCTTCTTGTAAATACTGTGTGGTTTTTTTCTTTATTTTTAGCTCTGCACTCTGCTCTGTGTTTAGAGAAGTAGTGTTTGTTCTGTTTTAATAAAAGAAGCTGGCTCTCTTTTCAAGTATTTACAATTCCACGTTTTTTCTTTACATTCACCCATTCCTTTGTAAATTGTCTTTACTTTGTATAGAAGAGTTAGTTTGTAGATGTAAACTCAAATTGGATGACAGTTTGCTAAAGCCCTGTGTATCATACATAATTTCCTTTTTAATTTTTGAAAATACTGTTTTCAATTTTTTTTCATTTTTTTTTTGCATCTCAGTGCTTCTGATGTCCTCCAGCCTCTTTGAAGCCTTTTCCTGTCAACATGCGCTTGCTCAAGTGGTGGTTGCATGTCATTGATCAGGGGTGGGGGGGCTTAAAACAAAACTTAACCCTTCAGTTTGTTTCCCAAAACAGTTATGATCAAGGTATGCCGTTAATGATTGTCACAGCTGCTTCAGCTCTCAGCTGAACTGTCAAGCCTCAAGTGGCTGGTGTCATAACTGATCGCATGTGCAGCACCATGACAACTGCAGATCAAACAGAAGCTAAGATGGCAGCTTTCTTGGCTGTAAAGAATAGGAGGGCTTAGTTCCACTTTAATGGTAACAGTGGAACTTGTCTGCACAGTAATCATTGACATGGTTGTGTGAAGTCTTCACCAGAAACAAATGAGACAGGGTGACAATGTAGAAGAGCAGTTGGGAGACAGAAAGAGAGCATTATCACCTCGTAATGGGAAGTTCTGAACAAGGACCTGGGTGGAAGAATTACCAGGTATTTTTGATGATTTTGGAATAAATAATAAATTGCTATTAAACCCCAAAACAAACATTAGATTGTAGCTTACCAGTTCTTGAATGTGGTGGCTGCATTAGCTTTTTTATTTTTTTTCCTGCATTTTCACCTGTTGATCCAGCCACTTAGTCTGTTATTTTTTCCAACGTCCTTTATTATACCAAGCTATCCAACAAGAGTGTCAGATAGAGGGTTGAGACACCTATTTAAAGTGGAACTTAACCCATTGACTTGAACTAAACCCATTCACGGTCTCCAAACACTGTTACATTAAAGGCAATACCATGAGTGATAACTATCGCAGTTGCTTATGCTCTCAACTAAACTGTCAAGCCATCAAATAAATGGTTAGTGTCATTCCTGATCACATGTGCAGCACAATGGGCAACTGCAGATCAGAGGCTTGAGCTGGCCATACACCAAAGGAGATTTGAACGACTGTTTGTATGAATATTCTTGAAACATGTCGCTCAAAAGTACATTTACATTTTACATTTATAAAATTTTATTTTGCTTTTGACAATCGATTTTGAAATAAATGGACTTTCCTAACCAAAAAAACACATTTACAGTTAGAAATTTGTTTGAGAAAAAATTTCCACCCTGCTCCTTCGAATTTTCTCAGCAGTACAGTTAAAAGAAAACCTCAATTTGATCCCACTAATGATTAGAAAATTGAACATGTATTCTTATATTGAAAAATGTTAAACAAAGTCTATTACTGCATGGCCAGCTTAAGATGGCAGTTTTTTTGGTCATGATGGATAGGAGTGTTTAGTTCTGCTTTAGGGCCGGCTCACACCATTTTGGCATTTCTCTTGTGCACCTTTTGTGCGTTCCTGTTTGACGCATTTTCGGCAGTCCATTAATTGCATTGGGCTGCTGGACATGCAGGAATATGCTAAATGTATAGCAGGCTCAGCTTTTATAATTGCAACAATAACCCCCAGTGTTAAGTGGTGGTGCTGGTAGCCCAACCCCCCTTGCCATGAACTGGGCCTCAGGAGCAGTACTACATTCCCAACTGCATTGATGGTCAGTGCAATGCTTTTTTAAACATCTGGTCCACACCTTCCAACCCACCCCCTAGTCCCCTGACACCCCTACATTCCCAACTGCATTGATAGTAAGTGCAATGTTTTTCTTATACAACTTGTCCACAGCTCCCAACCCACCCTAAGTCCCCTGACACCCTTACATTCCCAACTCCATTGCTGGTCAGTGCAATGTTTTTATAAACGTCTTGTCCACACCTCCCAACCTTTTATTTTTTGTATTTTATCAAACCCAGCATTGGTCAGTGGCAGTGCTCTTTGGCCCTACATTAGTGGGATGTGCAGTGGCACTGCTCTTTAGCCCTACATTAGTGGGCTGTGCAGTGGCAGCGCTCTTTAGCCCTACATTAGTGGGCTGTGCAGTGGTAGTGCTCTTTAGCCCTGCATTAGTGGGCTGTGCAGTGGCACTGCTCTTTAGCCCTGCATTAGTGGGCTGTGCAGTGGCAGTGATTCTAAAGGTTCACTTTAAATTTTTTAAAAATAACAAACATCATATTTACCTGCACTGTGCAATGGTTTTGCACTCAGCAGCCTTGATCCCCCTCTTCTCTACTCCCCCGCTGGTGCTCCTGGCTTCCCCCCCTACCCCCCCCCCCTTTTGAATGGCCCCATTGCAAGCTGTGCTCTGGGAGGCACTCGTGCGTGCTTGCTCTCGAGCCATCTCTGTATGTCCAGAAGAGTTGCAGAGTGTGGCTTGGCCCTGCCCTGATCTCCCAATCCCTTCTCACTGGCTGTGATTGATATTGACTCCCGCTGCTGTATCTCAGCCAATGAGGAGTAAGAGACATGGTGGAGCCACTGCTTTTGTGCATATCACTGGATTGGGATCGGGCTCAGGTGAGTATATGGGGGTGCTGCAGGGAAGCTGCACTGAGGATGTTTTTTACCTTCATACATGGAATGCATTAAGGTAATAAAACCTGTTGCTTTCACAACCACTGTAGCCTTCTCTGATCACACGCTGCCACCCTGCTTTCTCCTCATTGAGCCTCAGACTACATTTATACTGTTGCAGCGATCACTTTATTTGACAGTACTGCCTATACATCAGTGCATGGTGTCAACAGAGTGTGTTTTCAGCATCTGGCACCCTGCTGCCACTCCATAAAGTCCTCAAGTGCCAAGCAGGTTGCAGACCCAGTCTAGGACATAATGTTTTTGTCATCTGGGTGTTAAAGGGCTGGTGAGCTGCCAGGATTCTGCTCTTTGAAAATTAGGAGCACAGATGAGAAGTGATTTCTGTTTCCCTGTTATACATTTCTTCCAAATGCTTATAGCTACAAAGGTTAATGAGGGCAAGTTTTTAAAGTGCTCTTAAGACTTGTTCAGAATATGCAAATGTTCAGTCTGCAAACAGGTTCACTTAAAATGTAAAGGTATTTCCTTTCCTCTCACCCACCACATGACATTGTATAGAGAGAGATATGAACTGATGTGGAAATATAAGTTCTTGCAGTTAATGTGGTTGTAAACCCTTATATTTGCCCAGTGAAGTGACTGGCCTCAGGTGATACACAGAGATGGAACATATCCTCCTACATAACTTGTATCTGGTTATCTGCAGTCTTTTCTTCTGTAGCAATTCAAAGTGCAAAATTTGCACAGGTTGTCTGAGCTTTCAGAAAACCGGTGGTGAGGAGCTGAAGTTGCACCCTGCAGAGCTCAGTAAGAGCTGATTGGAGGAAAGGGACACCACCACCACCCCTTTTCACACAGGAACAGAACTGAGGCTGTCAGTCACAGGCTATACCCTGGAGCTCCCTCCTGTCTTAATTTTCTATCTCTTGATGTCAGGAAAACCTGTCAGAAGTAACTCGTGGTAATAGCAGATAAACTAAGCAGCAGACAGAAATGACACTTAGTTCTCTGAATTGAGACCAGCACACACTATAGAGGAATATGCTTTGTTCATTTTTCATTTCAAGTGGTTTACAACCACTTTAAATAATTTAATGCGATCACACTGCCCAAACCTTGGGGATATAGCTCTTATGACATTGTAGCAGACAGTATAGTTAGCAATCCCCTGCTGATGTTGTGTGGGAATACCAAATAACCCGATGACAAAGTCACTGCATAATCTAAGTGAGCTGTGTTGCAGTAAAGGTGTAATCGCTCAATTTTTGGAGGAATGCAGAAGATGATCTTTCGGGGATTCAATACATTTTAAGTAGCAAGGATGTGATCAGAAAACCTGTACTATTCTATTCTGTTCCACTCTAAAATAAATGCTGCTGGCAGCATTTGTCAGCACCACCTATCTCCTTCCCTATTGCATTTCTGTCCATGTAAAAGTAATGGTCTTTTTTTCTGGTACTGCTGGGCATTCTTGAAGGGCAGACTGTGTATGCACTTTTTTTTTTTTCTTGTATTTTATGTTGAAACAGGGTGTCCTGTGAGCCTAGCCTAGGCAGCACAGCGGCAAAATGGTTAGCACTTCCTCTTGGCAGTATTAGGGTCGCTGGCTTGAATCCCATTCTCGGCACCACCTGCCTGGAGTTTGCACGTTCTCCTTGTGCCTGCGTGGGTTTCCTCCGGGTACACCGGTTTCTTCCCACACTCCAAAGACATGCTGGTAGGTTAATTGGATCCTGTCTAAATTGGCCCATAGTATGTGTATCTATGAATGTGAGTTAGGAACCTTAGATTGTACACCCCTTGAGGGTTAGGGACTGATGTGAATGTACAATATATATATGTAAAGCGCTGCGTGCAAATTGACGGCGCTATATAAGTACCTGAAATAAATAAATAGTCATCGAATCTCCCAGTCTTCTAATCGTGAGCTAGTGCCTTCTCTTACTTTGGAAGTTTATAGACAAGCCCTTGTTTGTCTTTCCAGAACCACCATGCGCTCCAGGGTTCCATGCCCTTAGCAAACAGCTCCTTCCGATGAAATAGCTCACACCTCCTCCCTCGGTTGTGTTTGTTGGTTCTTAGCTGACCTCAACCTGTTTTGTTTCTCTTAAATATACCTTAATCCCCCCACATCTACTCTTTACAGGTGTTCACTCCCTTTCGCAAACTGATCCTTAGTGCGGACAATAGGAAGGACATGGAGGAATGGATGGCGGCCCTCAAGTCTGCACAGAACCGTGAGCTGTTTGAGGTAGTAACCTGTCTAATTCCAGAAACAAAAATCTGACCAAGGTGGCAAATATATAGTGCTTGCTGCTAGGAAGAGAATTGTAGGTGATACTGGGTCATTGACCTGGGAGGGACAAGTGCACTTTGTATTCATTGTAGAGAGGGAGGGATGCACTGACAGCGCAGTTTTTTTTCTGTCCGAGGAAGTCATACATGCTGCTTTCTATTTATAGATTGTCTCGGGCATAACTTGCCGACTTACCTGTCAGACTTGTTATCATGGGAAGCTATGTAAAGTATTTGCAAGTTTGTTCTGCCCTTTCAACTTTTTTTTTTTTTTGTCTTGTGCAGAAGAACAATCAGGAAATAGTTTTAGCTCCTAAGTTTAGGGTAGTGTTACTTCTGTCATTTGCATAACAATCCCTGATAGGCAGCACTGCTTTAGGCAGTAATCAGACTGGCCGTGCCTGCGTGTGCACACTTCTTTACCTGCACCATCTACAGCTTTATATTTTTCTTTTTTCTCATGTTTCCAGTCTGCCCAGTACAGTGTGGACCACTTTTCCGGAATGCACAACTGGTATGCCTGCTCTCATGCTCGACCCACCTACTGCAATGTGTGCCGGGAAGCGCTTTCCGGGGTCACCTCCCATGGACTCTCCTGTGAAGGTATGTGAGAGGAGAAGTACTGCAATCCCATATGTAGTGCTGTACAATCTTTGGCTGGTTTCTGTGTGGAGATCTCTAAACCCCAAACTTGTGTATTTTTCCTGTTTTTCCTGTGTGCGCACTTCTGTGTGTGTGTGTGTGTGTGTGTGTGTGTATGTATATATATATATATATATATATATAAAATAAATGTATATGTATGTGTGTGTGTGTATATGTATATATATATATATATATATATATATATATATGTGTATGTGTATATATATATGTGTATGTGTATATATATATATGTGTATGTGTATGTATATATGTATGTGTATATATATATATATATGTATGTGTATATATATGTGTATGTGTATATATATATATTTAGAAAATGTGTGTATGTATATATATGTGTGTGTGTATGTATATATGTGTATGTATGTATACATACACACACATAATGTATATATGTGTGTAATAATATTCAAGATGTCAGAAGCTGATTGACAAACAAGTGGAGAAAAATAGAGCAACCAAAAGAAACAGAAACGTTACAGTCAATGCAGATAATATCCATGGTAGGTATTCCACCTGGGACCCCGTGCTGTAATCCAAGTGTTCTAATCTCCAAGTCACCATACTGCCCTTCCACATTGTGTCCTTGCAGTTTCTGCTGTCACAGGATATTATTTTCATATTATTAAGACGATACCTGTGTTCTGTGAAACCTGAAGCAAAGTTTGACTTCTGCTGAGCATTAAGATAACTACAGGTATGAAAATTCGTACTGTAAAACGGTTACATGGACTGTTAAGCCCCATTCAGTTAATTATAGCTAGCATTAATATATAATTTGTACTGTATCTGTTAGTTTCCCTAATGAGTCATCCAGTGCCTGAGGGCAGGGCAGGGATTCCTTACTATTTACTAAAGCCTCCTTACCTTTACTGGAGATTAAATGTTTACATTGTTATTCTGGTAATATAATTGAACGGAGTGCCCTGACAACACAGTTTACATTACTGTATACCGGTTATATTTGTGGTGGATCTTATCTTGAAGGAATATATTTGGTGGCAGATGGAAACTTTTACAGTAAAATAATAGCAAAATCCAAATTTCTGAAAAAAAATCTGCTTTTGAGTTTTAGACCAATAGCATTGCATAGCAGAACAGTGGCTCAGTGGTCATTGTTGATGTTTATGCTGGCCATACATGGATCAAAAATCAGCCGGTTCAGCAGGAACTAGACAAATTTCAATCCATCCATCTGTGGCCAGTCCTGTTTGGAAACTGTAAGTGAATCATTCGACTGCTCATGAACGAACTTGCTGGGAAACTTTAGTTCGATCAGTGCTGCAACCAATAGGCTGCAGCGCTGATCAGTGTCTTCTAACAGCAGAGGAGTCCAGCTGTCAGAATACAATGACACAGTGGGGAGGATTCCTGCATTCCACCTTGAATGTGTGGATGGGGGAATCAATTCAGTATTTTTCATTCAGCCCACTGGCTTAATGAAAAATCTGAGCCCATGTATAGCCAGCTTTACAGCACTAGGTTCCTGCAGACCAGGACCATACCTGCATGTGTTTTTGTGTGGGTTTCCTCTTGATGCTGCAGTTTCTTCTTGCCATCCAAAAAATATGGGTACTGGGTAGGTTTAATTGATCATTATCTATGTTTCAAAGCAACCTAAACCCTGGATACTATGCAAGTATCAATTTCTAGCTAAATCGTTTAAAGGATAAGTTCACCTTTCACAAAAAATAATAAATACACATTTTTTTTCAGGTAAAAAAAATTGCATTTTTTGTGTTAGGAGCCTCTAAAGTACTGCACTGGACTGCATACTGTCAATGTATCTGCTTGCTCGTACATCCCGTACAAGCAAGGCGATACATTTGACTGGAAGAATCAATGAAACTACCACAGTGCTCACAGTGCCATGGTAGTTCATTGAGGACTACAAGCAGACAGCCTCTAAGGCTATTGGGACCTGTAGTCTATTCATTCACAGAGGACTGTGATTGAATGACATGGCCGTGTGGGCGGAGCGCTGCACAGCCACTCTGCTTTTGAAAATTGACAGCTAGTACAGCGAACTTCTCCCCGTACTTCTATCATCGGGAGGAGGGGGGGGGGGCAATAGGCAGCAGCTGCAGGATCGGAAACATTTTACATATTCCACCCTAAAAAGTAGGTGGAAAATGTAACCTATTCCCAAAGGTGACCTTATCATTTATTTATTTATTTCAGCTACCTTTAAGCTGTAAAACCACAGTTTACATATTTACTGTCCTGGGTAAAGTGTTCCTTGGGTTCTATGGTAGATAATTAAAAATATTTAATTTTATGTTGATCTGACTCTTGCTGTAGTCGTTTTATTTACTGCTCTTTTTTTTGTAAAAAATAATAAAAGGTATAGAATTTTAGAAGATTTGAGACTAGCTGCTTCAGTGAGTGGTAACTTTGAAGCTATTCAGTGGCTTATGTATTAAAAAGAAGTGATTCTGACTTTGTCAAGTGCTGGTAATGATTTTGCCCAAAACGAAGGTGCTTTCTTACCCTGAATTCAATAAAGGTTAAAACAAACTCCTTTAGAGGGAATCCGTAATGGTAGATATATAGAAGCTGCCATTACTGAAATTTTGTGAGTGTGCAGAATATGTGGTTGGCATCCCAATCCTTTCTTTTCTACTGAGAGCCACTGCGCCATAGCAAGCATATACTGTATATAGTATATCAGGTGTCAGGACATTTTGTTTTTCAATTGCTATTTCCTGTCAGTAACTCACAAAAGCCAGAAAAAAAGCTCAGATATTTCTAGCCTTAAACAAGGAGAAGCTAGCCTTGCTTATAGTCACCTTGTAGCACCTCATTGAGAATTTGGGGTTGAGTTGTTTGGGGTCTGCCCAGGGGCAGACTGACAACTCATGGGGCCCCCGGGCAATAGGGGATCATGGGGCCCCTGTGTCCTTGCCCAAACTCAAAAAAGCCTATGAAAAAGGTACCAGGGGCATCTCATGGGGCCCCCTACTGACCCCGGGCCCTCGGGCAGTGCCCGAGTTTTCAAATGGTCAGTCCGCCCCTGGGTCTGCCTCATTCCTGACAAAGTCATTAAATGCCCTTGTTTGCTGGATTCATTTCCTAAGTCCATCTAAAACTAATTCCTTAAACCAAAGGCAAAACTTTTGTTTTTTTAGGTTTGGATAGAGTGGAGAGGGATTAGAACACCAATTAGTTTTTTTATTGCTGTCTGTGTCCCTGTTAGGGAGGTTCGCCTATTCTATTTGTCTTGTTTACTATTCTTGAAAGTGAAAATAAAAGCAAATTCCAAATTTTAGGTTGTTCCCAGAAAATTGGTAGAGGGGGAAATCTTCCAATAGGGACACTAATTCTGGTAACCTGGGGGACCCCAAGGGATTTCCTTAGGCCTAGTTCACACCTGCATTGAAAGCAGGTGTGTGAGGGGCGTTTTTACCGCTCCTCAAATGCCTATGTAAATGATACTATGGGCAGCACACAGTGCTGTTCACATTATCAAAACATGAAGCATTAGCATTGCTTCAAAAGTGAAGCCTCATGTGAAGTCAGGAGGAGTTTGAAGCCTTTCAACGCCTCCCATTCAATTCTATGGTGACACGCCTCAAACTCACTGGCAGGCGTTTGCGGGGCATTTTCAGTGTGGTTGCGGAGCGTTAATATTATTACAGTTTATTTAGTTTGTGGTGTGGTTTACCGCTTGTCAAACGCTTATAAAACGCTTCAAAACTGCACATAGGTCTTGTTCATACTTGACTAAATTTCTAACTCTTACCAACCACTCCTATAGCATTAGTATAGGCGGTAAACAGGCGTTATTGAGCTTTAATATGGGCATTAGACAGGAGTTAATGAGCATTAGTATGGGTGTTGGACTGACTTTTTACAAATGTTAAAAACGATTCCCAAACACTCTATGTGCAATTTTGAAGCATTTCATAAACGTTAAAACCACACCACAAACGAAGTAAACTGTAATGTTAATTTGCAGAAATTTCCTCTCACTTCCTGTTTTGGCTGTGGGACAGGAACTGAAGGGAAATCTCCCCAATGGGACACATGGCAGAAAAAAAAAAAAAAAACCTGACACTGGCTATAACCCTCCATTACTCTATACAAATTGAAAATCAAAGTTTTGCATATAGTTCCAGTTTTAAATTTGGTTAATGCTAGTATGTCCAGTCATCTCCTGGATCTTAGAATTAACGTATGGGTCCCCAAATATAGGCCAGTTATATTACAACAGCAAAGATAAGGGATTTTCCTCTGACATCCAAGTTTTAAATTTTGCGATCCTGCTACTGAGTAAATAGTTTTTGGCAGATTCTTTGAATACAGTGCAGTGCAGCTTAGCACCCTTCATTGTAATGTACATAATGTATGTTTTTTTTTGTTATATTGAGCATAATTAAAATGTGTGCTAAACACCATCAATATTAGTATATCTGATTGCAGCCACTGCACAGAGAGGATCTCCATTGCTTACCAGTGGTCACCTCTTTAGAGCTGACATCAAGAACTGTGGACTTGAAGTCAGTGACTTTTGTGTGACCTAACTTCTGACTCTCTGGATTATGGAGTAGTATAGGCCGCCTCTATGTCTTGTTTCCATAAAGTGGCTAGAACCACCGGAAATATGTTGTCTCTGTCCAGTAGTTTGTTTCCTTTGGAGGCAGCCACTATGACTAAAGTGTTATTACTGCAATGAAAGTAACCCTGTTTTTCTAGCAAAAAATTATGCAAGCCAGCTGAAAATGACAAATAAATTGTCTTTTTTTTTTTTTTTTTTTTCAGATCACACATATACAGAACAATTAGAACCATGAACAATTACTGTTCTGATTACATTATTCACATTTGAGCTGATCTGAAGCTTTAGAAATAGTATACTTAGTTTAAAGCTTCCAACAGGCACAGCAAAAAATGTAGGCTCTTGACAAACCGGTTTAGCTCAGTTGTGCATCAATCAACTTTTTTGTATGGAGTAAAACATATATGAACAGATAATCTTGGGGTACTGGGTGATCTGAATATTTCCTTCATCTCTGGGTTATAATGTAGTTTATGGGAAAAGCGGCCTGGAGATGTTATCTACAGAACATTGCCATGGCTGACAGCATAACAGTTTATGACATGTTCCGAGACCATGCTATGAAATTACCAAGAAATACCTTCTTTGTTACCTCTTCACATCAGGTTTTCTCTTTTTTCTTCTAGCGTCTAGAAATAACTAAACAAAAAAAAGTGCCGTTTCAGTAATTTTTGTTTGTATTTTAAATTGCATAATGAAATATGCAGATACAATTATGCAGCTCAGGTTGGGGAAATTTCAGTGGCTATATAACTGCTGTCTGGGGTCATATTTGATCAGTTATCAGTAAAATCTTTCACTGGTATATTCAGTACTGACTAAAAGGAAGTGATTCCATGTGTGATCTGAGGATGACCGCACTCAGACTTTGATGATGATGATGTAGTACATTTTAGGCAGGATTTGCATCTTTTACAATGTTTTTGCCAAATATGAATTTTCAGCCCTTGTAGCTCATGACAAAAAAAACAAACAACAAATATTTCCAGCTCACTTACCAGCCAGCCTGCAACAAACCAAATTACCCTGTCTTACAGTTAAAACAAAGGATTTCGTGTGCACACATTTGCAAATGTATGCGTAATCTGCAGAGGCCACTTCACAGCACCCCAGTGTACTGCAGTCCTATCTAACTCTATAAATTTTGGGAGTCTCCAAAGGTGGAGCACATATATAATAATGGATAGATTAAGGGCAGGTATACATGGAGAGAGCCAATTCTTCCTTAAAGGTATAGGGATGCACTGGACACCCAGCAATAGCACAATGGCAGCGAAGGTATCCAGCGTGTCCCCTCACCAATAAACCAATAATACAAACAAATGGAAACCACCCTAACCTATAACTGGCCTTTACAGCAAGGGGCACATGGAATGAAAGCTCATGACTAATATTTTACACACGGTTTAAAGGAGTGATTGTCAACTGACTATTATAGGGCATATACTTTATATTGGTATAAGCATTTTGTTTATTAAGTCTGGTGATGACTTAGGAAGGCTTTTTATGGATTTTATATTATTTACCTTTTATTGCAAAATCTGGTTTTGTGACATCTGATTTTCTTATTTTCTTACATTTTCTATGCAGTGTGCAAGTTTAAGTCTCACAAGCGGTGTGCCGTGAGGGCTACAAACAACTGCAAATGGACTACCTTGGCCTCTATTGGGAAAGACATCATAGAGGATGAAGATGGGGTTAGTATGCCTTGCCCGAAGACGTTGTCAATTTGTCTGACTTCTTTTTCTCATGTCACATTGGAGTTTACACTGCTAATGTAGCCTGTGCTAAAGAAAGCTTGTTGTTGTGTTTGGCCTTTCAGGTATCAATGCCACACCAGTGGTTGGAGGGGAACCTACCTGTTAGTGCGAAGTGCACGGTATGCGAGAAGACTTGTGGCAGCGTGCTGCGCCTACAAGACTGGCAGTGTCTGTGGTGCAAAGCAACGGTAAGACACTAGACCATCCTTTCTCAAACATTTTACCCCCCCAAAGGAACCCTTGAAATAATTTTCAGGTATGCCTGCTAAAGATTACAGCTTTAATATGTTAGCAGTTTCGGATAGAAGCATAAATAGGGTTGGCATACCTAGAGTATTTTGAAGCTCATATTAGGATGCTGTAAAATAAAAAAGTATATTTTCAGTTATAATCACAAAATATTTATCAGTAATAATCCTAAATTTAAATGAAAAGTAGTCAGTGGCCTCCTTATATTGGTGGTCACTGAGAAGAATGCCACCCTTATGCGCCATTCACATCTCACGATTTGGGATTGTGGACAGCACCGCTGCGATTTTGCCCACGATCCCAAATCGTATGGCAATGGTAGCACAATGCTCTGCTCTTCAATGGCACCCCAAACGTGATGCAAATCATGGCATGCAGTGCCCTTCATATCGCAGGAACCTCTTTTTTGGGTGATTAAACATGCATAGGGCAGCCTAGTCAAGTGAATGAGCTACCCTATGCAACACGCAGAATCGTGTGAATATTGCATATGAAGTTTGCGTAGCAGGAATGCTCATTCCCACTACACGACTGCTAAAAACATTATTGTGGCATGCTACTAACTGTGCCAAGTCATGCTGGCTTTTTGAACTATGCAAGCAATATCAGATAAGAGGTCAGTTTGCCAGTGTTCAAGAAACCTCTCGCAAACCTTTGGAGAAAGCCAAAGAACCCTGGTAGGGAATGGCTGTACTTGACTATTCAAATTTTCTTTGATTGGGATGAGTAATCTGTGTTTTGGCTCTTTCGTGGGGCTTTAAAATGTGGCCATCTTTTTACATTGCTTTTATTTAGTATCCTAAGTACTAGTTACAATGTTTTCAATTAAAAAGGAGTGGTCAGTGGAAAGCCCTGTGTTCTTCATATATATTTTATCTGATTCACTATAAAACTATTGAATTGGGTGTATTGAATGAAATGTAACTGTGTGACATTCAAACATTCTCTCTAAATAAACTCTCTATTAAATAGCATGTACTGCTTGTTCCCCTATTTGGATTTTACACATTTTTTTTCCTTTTAATATTGGGGTTGTTTGACTGGAGGTCCAGTGGTGCACCCTCTTTTTTTTTTTTTCTTTTTGTTTTGGTTTTTATAATTCTCATTAACACTGGCCTCCCTAAAATGTTTGCATTGGCTCATGCTATACTTGCGTGCTCCGTGCAATGGTGTTGCACAGAGTGGCCTCGAGCCTCCTCTTCTGGGGTCCCCCGCCAGCTCTCCATGCTCCTCCTCTTCTCAGTGTTCCACCTTAGGAAACTGCTTCCTATAGACACACAGCTTGTTTTGGCCCCTTCCCCCATTCTCTGCACACATGATTTGATTCACAGCAGCAGGAGCCAATTATAGACTGAATCTCCACTTTTACTGTAGATTTCTTGCTCTAATATTTATTAATCCACTTCAGTGTTTGTAACAGTTCACCAGTTTATGTGTAGAGAACAAATACAGAATGTTCTGAACTGGTAATTGTGTCACAGATGAACTTTCCTAAACCTGGTGGAGTAATATAGTTTATCACATGTACAGATGTGAGCTGGTTTCCTTCCTGTGTCACTGCCGCATTTTAGTTGTGGCACCAATTGCCAACTCCAGATAATGCCTTTTTCCTGTCTTGCCACCAAAAGACCTTGTACATGCAAGCACCTAAAGGGAGGGGTCCTTGCAGCTTCATGTACAGAGTTTTATCAGGACTCATGGTTCAAGCACAGACGTTCAACAAACTGATTGCACCATTTTTCTGAATATTTTTTCCAAACAGGTCCCTGTGTGATGTGTTATACTGCTATCTAATGGTAATCCATGTTACGCACATAAAATGTGAATGCTAGCACCTGTCATTAATTAACGTATTGTATAATGTAATACTGACACAAAACTTTGCTTGAAGTCAAAAGTAAACTGTAATACCTGATTTAAACACAGATTAGACAGTAAGGACCTCATCCACTTGTGTCAATAAATTACATAACTCCAGGCTTTTTAATAGCCTTCTTTCTTTATATTGACAGATATGTAGAGTAAAGATAAAGGATTAAGAGGTCATTGATCTCTATGGAGACCAACAGTAACTACACACAAGTACCAGAGTAAAGGAAGAAGCAGGGAATATTACCTGTTCTATTGCCAGTGTTCTGCGCTTGTGTGCACATTACTGATGTTTCGATGCTGTCATCCCCCTTTGCTTTTGTCAGTTGCTCAGACCCAATGCGTGAATTGCACCCAAAGAAGTTCAGAGAGTCCAGTTAGCATATCATCACAACACTAAACACTCATTCGCATTTTGTTTCTACAGAGTGCAGTGTTTGTCCAACCCCTGTGAACATGAAATCAGAGCACACAAAAAAGTGCACAGAGGATACAGAAACAGCCAAACCTCCAAAGAGGAAGGGCCTGTAACACTAAACTCCCCTGGGCAGAAGGCTGCTGACCTGAGTAAGGTACTCCTTGGTCTGCCTAGCCTGAAGCCAGGTTGACCAGCTCCCTAGGCACTATCTAAAGCCAGTTTACTAGGTACTTGGTTGGGGGCTCTCCCAAAGAGAGACCCCTCCAGCTGGGGAGAGGTAAATAACCCACAGGCCACAGAACTTTCCCCAAAATCAGGGCAGGCCCCCGATAACCTGCACCTTCTGTCTCTATGCAAACACAAAAAAAACCACGCGTGCAGTGCAAGTGGCCATGAATAAATAGTGCAAAATAAAAATGTGCCGTTTGCAATGACGAGGCCAGTATAAAATTTCCCCCAATAAGATAAAAGGCTTGCCCATGAGGTGTGTGCAAGAAAAGCAAGTAGTGGCGAGTCCTAGTGGCAGTGTAAAAAACACAATGGTGTGCCACTTCCAAAGTGTAATTTTTCAGACACCCCTGGGATGCCAGCCCCAGGGGGCACATCACTGGGAGCCCCATGCCCAAGGGTTCATTCACATGCTACATGCTTTGGCATGCAGCTGTCAGTTTTTTCCTGCATTCAGCTCATAGCACTTTCTGTTTAATTATTGGTTTAACTGTATTTGAAGTGCCACAAAATGACACTTAATTCATGCCTCTGCACTGCAGCAGGGTGACATGAGGTGTCATCCAGAGCACTGCAGAAAACATCACACTAACATTGTGGTGTTAACAGGGCACATAATAAAATTAATTTCTATGTTCCATTGCAGTGATTTGTGTTTATTCAGAGCGGAAAAAATGCAAATCACCACGCATAGTGTGAACAAGCTTTTATCAAATGTGGAAAATCATCACGCATAATCTTTAAACATCAGAACGGTACTGCTTAATGGACAAATGTGCAGTTTATAGTACTAATCTATGAATCCATGTGCTAAAGCTTTCAACTTGAACTCGATGTAAAAGAACACTGAATCAGACATCAGTGATTTGATCTTTACATACTGTACACATTTAATGGAGTTTTCTTCTCCAAACCCTGCGGTTCTGATTCAGCAGTATCATAGGCTATGTGGATGGTTGGTATGGAACTGCTTAGGGTAGTATGTTGGATATTTTTTTTAATTTATACATCAATGTTTGCAAAACGTGACATTGTCACAAACAGGATGTTAAGTCATTGACAGCTTTTCTTTTTCTCAAGCTGTTAGAGTATAACTGCTGGTAATAGATTGTGTGACATTACATCCGCAAAAGAGGAACTAAACAGTTCAGGCAATAAGTGTATAAAGGATACCATTGTGAAATAAGGGAATGTGTACAGTCTCTAGGGTGAAGAGAACAAAAGCTAGAGTTGTTGTGTTTTCTGTCTCCAGGTCTGCAGATGATAACATTTCTGGATTCTTATTTGTTAATCTTAAACTGGCTATACTCTAGTAGAAAAAATTTGTACACCAATTCTAGTTTTATTTGACCGTTTAAAAAATATCATTCAGTTCAAATCCTGTATATGAAATACTTTCATTTGCTTTTAATATTTTGGAGTGAATGGACCTTAACTACTTTACCATTGTGCATGTTAGAAAATCGATTTCCATGGTATTCTGCTTGCAAAGGGTCAGTTTGTAAAGTGTTTGCTCCTAAAAATCTCCACTACAGTTAGGTGTGAGGTGTCTGTTGCAGATGACAGAAAAGGAACCATTGCAGGTGGAGATAAAATACAGATCAATGTTAAATAGAAACGTTCAGCCAGCAAGACAGCTCTCCACTACCTCCACTACAATTTAGTACGTCTATTCAGTGAAAGAGAAAATACTTTTTCCCCACTATTGTAGCATAAATAGGGCAATACAGAAGGGATTTTTATAGCCTATATATTTAAACACTGACTGTCACATGAAAGTACACCTAACTCTGTATAGTTATTTAAGTTGACAGTCATAGACTATTTTGGACATGTTGCAGGGTTGGTTCTGTTTTTTGTTATTCGCAGCAGTGTAATTTCTTTTTTTTTTTTTTTTAATCCTCTCCTGTTTTGTGTCTCTCTTTCTTGCATGTAACTTGTGATTTTTTTTTATTTTTTTTTTTTAAGGTACATACATCCTGCAAGGAGATTTTACCTAAAAAGTGTCCACTTGGCCAGTGTAAAGTGTCTGTAATTCCCCCAACAGCCCTCAACAGCATAGACTCAGATGGTGAGTGGTGGGATCATGTGCAAGCACAGGAAGTGAGGAAAATCCTTTACAACATATGGTGGAACAGTGGTTTTCCTCTGTTTTGTTTTTTACAGGGTTTTGGAAAGCCACCTGTCCCCCTTCCTGTACTAGCCCTTTGCTTGTGTTTGTAAATTCTAAGAGTGGAGACAACCAAGGTGTAAAGTTCTTAAGACGCTTCAAGCAGCTGTTGAACCCAGCTCAAGTTTTCGATCTTATGAATGGTGGACCCCATCTTGGGTAAGATTTTTCTTTGGGTCATCCACTAATCCCACCTATAATTATCCATTTGAAAAGATTGGCATGCAGTACATTTAGATGCCCTGTTTACAACCTGCTGCTCTTGATCCTTGGCAACCAGTTGTCTGTGTTTACCGAAGGTACTTGGACCTTCTGCACAGTTTCTGGCTTATTACAGCACAGACTTCCCTCATGGTTTTGTGTCATGTGTCCTAAGAAGATTTAAAAGCAAGACACTTCCCCTCATTCTGTGCTGGGTCAGGTGTCAACAAGGAGCTTGAAATGTTCGAATTGCTGCTCTGTACATCTGTACCTCCATTGCAGGAAGCAGCAACTTAAGCAAGAGCAGGAAAAATATTCATGGTCTCTGCTAGTTAGATGGTTTCTCCAGCATTTGTCTGACCATAAAATAATTTAGTTTTGCTTTGAATTATTTTATCTTTCTCAGTTTATTTTTTCTGTATAGCCTGATGCCTCATTTTTTTTAAACTTTGTTCTGTAATCTTTTATTGTGGATTTTGCAGTAAAAAACATCGGATATGAACACAATCATTTCAGTGGGGCTCTATGATGACAATAATCTCTAGCAATCACCTATAACCTATCTCCATTCTTCTGACATTGGCCTCCTGCTTTCACCCAGTCTCTGACATTTCTGTTAGCATTCCCCCAATCTCTGACCACTTCTGTTAGCATTCCACTAGTCTTTGACAACTTCTGTTAGTATTCCCCCAGTTTCCTACCACTCCAGTAGCATGTCTCCAGTGTTTGACTGTCTCTTGCAATATATCCCTAATCTCTGACCATTTTCTGTAGCATTAGGGTTATTGACTATAATGTGGTGGTGTCAGGGGTCTCATTTGAGGCCCACAATATATTTTATGTAGATCCCCACTAGGTTAGATAACTATATTTTAGCAGTTTTGTTGGAAGTTTGCTTTTAGAAAGTATTGTTTTCCTTGCCTCCGATGCCTAGCGCCTAATTCTGTACAGTGTGTATTTTAGAGGATTTCCACATTCAGCTGAATAGGGAATATTTCCGACACATTTTTTGCCAAAAGCAAAGCAGGCATTTAAAAAAAAAAAAAAAAAAAAACCATGAAAAATGTCTGGGTCCGCACTAATTTTTTCTGTCTCCTACTGCAATCAATATGTATTGATTTAACAGCATAAATCACTGACTTCTACACAGATCATGGTGATCAGTTTTTCATGGAATTCTTTATGCATAAATAATAACATATGTTTTTATTCTATGGTTAATGAGAAGAGGGCATCATGATATAAACTAATAATTTGTATTATTCCTTTAGCTTACGTTTGTTTCAAAAATTCGACACCTTCAGAATATTGGTATGTGGTGGAGATGGAAGTGTAGGCTGGGTTCTCTCTGAAATAGATGCTCTAAATCTTCACAAGCAGGTACGAATAAAATGAATAAATGTTAACGTCAGTGTATGTATTTTAGACACCTTGTAAGTCTCTGTTTTATGTAATAACTAAACCTTCTAATAAACCTTAAAGTGTTACTAAACCCAGGACCCTGCATTCATTATATCTGCTCTCCCACAGTACACACAACATGGAAGTGCAATTATTTTAGTAAATATAAACTGCTAAATACCTTTTCTCATCAGCAGTTAGAGCAGTCTTGTGACTTTAGCAGAGCACTGGTTAAAGCTTGTAGGAGGAGTTTTCTTTATATTCTAGGAGGATGTGAAACCTCTGACCCTCTGTCTGGACAGTGCTGATTGGCCCTGTGCTGATCACATGCACTCTCACAAGAAAAAAAAAAAACCTCTCCAGCAATACACACCAATGTATTTCATTATATATATATATGCATGTGACCACGTGTTCAGTCTGCATCAGGTGGTCATTTCAACAAGAGGAGGGGCAGAGAAGAACAGATCAAACAGCCTTTTTACACAATGCAGAGAATTAACCCCTTAGGTTCCACAGTAAGTATAACAAGCATGCTTTACTGCATGTACACACTGATTTTACTGTTGTGGGTTTAGTAACACTTTAAAGTAGAGCTGTGACAAGAGCATGGGCTTCCGTTTATGACCACCATCTAAAGAAATTAGTTGACCTCTGGCTTTACTACTTTCAGTCAGTGCAGTTTTGAACTTTAGACGCTGCATACTTGACCTGACCTCAGACAACTACCATTTTGAAAGAGGTCAGCAATTGCAGCCTACATATTTCTTTTATGACAGATGTCCTTTGAATGATACAGTTTTATAGCTGTGCTGAGTGCAAGGTGTTTCACATTCTTCTTGAATTGTTTTTGTGCAGCTTATTGTTCTCTTAACAGTGTCTGACAGCAGACTGGAGCATTATAGGTTACATTTCACTTTACAAATGCAGCTCTGCATCCAGTATTATCCAATTTGATAACCTCCTCCAGCTCACACAGTATTAGCAGTAATCAGCCAGAAACTCCTCCTTCCACTATTCTCAGTTTCCAGCTGAGAAGTAATGGAGAACCATTTGAAAGGCGCTGCTTACTCTTTCCCTATACATATACACAGTGAACTAATGTAAAAACTCTTGCTTTTGAAAATGGTTTTTATAAGTCATCCACTTTTTTTTTTTTTTTTTTTTTTAAATAATGCAGTGATTTGATATCCCAGCCTAGACAATGTTTAGATTAAGATCATCCAGCAGTTGGAACAAATGCAGTAGAATCCAAAGGGCTGTGCACTTGAAAGCTGCATCCATTTTATTGATAATCTTTTAAACGCCATATACAGTAACAGTAGGGACCGTGGGAGCAAGGAAACACTGTCAACAGTTGACTCCAATTGTTCTGTGACGCTTTTACCAATATAGTGAATGTTGCAGTAACTGCCTTTCTTTACTGAAGGTCAGTGATTTTGTAAATGTTTTTGGATCAGGTGAGTGATGTCCTGGCATCCTTCAGCTGAAATCATTCAGCAAATATACCCCCTTGTTTTGTTTTTCCAAAGACCAAAAAAAACCTTGTTTACAACTCTGTTCATTTTAAGATTTATTATCAGCATACTAAGTCATTAAATGTTACTAAAAATCTTGGCAGACATAAATAGTTAGGGCCTTTCACACTTGGGTTGATGCATGTTAATGTGCAATTGCCCATTCATTTTGATTCAGCTAGAATCAGACATGTATCCTTTTTCCTAATGCAGTATGGCATGTCCATTATGGCGCTCTGCAAAGTGTATCCATTTCCTGTTGCTGTGCTAGTGTGTTACCGGAACGCATACGTCTGCATGGGGCTTTAAACTTAGCCCATATGTATTCATTAAAGAAATACAAAACTTATGTTTAAATTATGCAATGGATAATTTCCTAAAATTACTTTTGAATGTTTTAAATAAAAATTCTCTGCTCCGAGCTGCTCTTCTCCACTCCAACTTAAAGCCCGGGTGCCTTAGACAAAACAATCTGTCTCTGCTCACTCTATATCCTGAAGAAAAGGAGTCACCACACACCGGTGGAATCGTCAATATCCACATTTATTGCATTTCATATCCACACACTTGGCATTGACTGCCCTTGTCTTAAAGCAGGGGTGTTAAACTGACGGCCCTCCAGCTGTTGGGAACTACAAGTTCCATCATGTCTCTCTCTGTAAGAGTCATGCTTGTAACTGCCAACCTTGCAATGCCTCATGGGACTTGTAGTTCCACAACAGCTGAAGGGCCGCCAGTTTGACACCTGTGCCTTAAAGCATATGTTAATCTTTTTACCAAAAATAATAAATGCACATTTTGTTGCAGGTAATTGCATTATTTTTGGTTGCAGGGGCCTAGAAACCATTGCTCCAGTGATCAGATCGCTGGTGCCATGCAGGTCTCCTGCAGACCTCTCACACTGACAAGGAAGTACAGTGAACTATCACGGTGCTCCACAATGCTGTGGTAGTCCATTGAGAACTACAAGTCAACAGCCGTTAAGGCTCTGCACTGCTCATTTTTTAAAATTTGACAGCTAGCTAGGGGAGAATCCCCTGCTAGCTCTCAAAGCTGGGGAGGGGGAGCCAGTCTGATCATAACATGTTACACCCTGAATATGGGTGTAACATGTTATGAAAGGTGAACTTATCCTTTAAGACCACCCTTCTAGCACATTTCACCCAACAGGGCTCAGTCGTAAAAAATACAAGATCTCTTGGACTAAGCCCTGTCAAGTGAAACTGGTCCAAGGTGGGCGACTGTTGTGTCAAGCTGGTGGATGTCCTATGCAATAAATTACGGTTGTTCTATTCCTTCAGTATTATCCTAAAATCATTCTTTGTTAGTATCCCAATAATGTACAGCAAATTAAATGTAAACATTGGCTTTCATAACTTCCTACTTCTTGTGACTGGAGAATGGCACTGAATATGTATAGATGTAGTAATTCATTACAACTGTTGCGAATTTATATGGTCAGCCACTTGTTAGCCTAAAATAGCAGGAAACCCAAAACTGAGTTGATTCTCCAGACAGCTGACTAAATGGCTCCTAATTTTCTTATATCTTCAGTGATTTTTTTTTTCCAGTTGCAAACACCCTGTCATACTACATAACCAGACAGGTGACACCACATTATATTGGTTCAGCAACCTGCTTCCTGTGTCACCTTGCTGCCTACAACTTGCTCAGTGGTGGAGGGGTGTAAATCACATCTGGGGCTAAACAAAATAACAAATTCTTTGGCAGGTTGAAAAAATAATGCGCACATTATATGACGTTTAAAGTGTATGTATGTAATTTCTTAGATTACTAGATCAGAGCAGTCCTGTGTCTTTTACACACTTCTTGACTTATCTCAAGGTGAATAAATAGACCTCCTGTCTCCTAAATTGTGACTACAAAACTAATTAATGTCCTTTGTTGGAGATGGGAGTGTTGGTGGTCTAAGCAGTTTTAACATAAGAAAGCTGGACAGGGCTGTCACCATTCAGTCCACAAAAATGTTGTTTTGTTGTCAGCACACAACAGGACTTAGGAGCTGAGTACACTTTTGCCAGTTCAACGGGTAATTTTTTTTGGACTTGAAGGGTCTTTAAAGGGTTAAACATAATGGCATGTGCATGTCTTGCAGAGAGGTGCTGCATATATTTTTTTCCCTAAGATAACAGTGTATTTAGCTCTGTTCCAGAAATCCTCTTTAATATGAGCAGTGCTGAAGAGCAGCTTTTAAATATTATTTTAAGTATCTTCAGATGAGTTTTGTTAATGAAATCACTTTTATATATACATAGATGCAAATGTAAAGATATTACAGTGGCCTTAGGTTTCTTTTGCTGCATGTTTTTGAAATCTGTCAGTATCATCCATGATGGTAAATGTTATTTATTTGCTTAGTGCCAGCTTGGGGTGTTGCCCCTAGGAACAGGGAATGACTTGGCGCGAGTGCTGGGCTGGGGCTCTGCATGTGATGATGACACTCAGTTACCCCAAATACTGGAGAAGTTTGAGAGGGCTGGCACTAAAATGCTGGATAGGTAAGTGTGTATGTATATATATATGTGTGTGTGTGTGTGTGTCTAAGTGTGTATGTATGTATGTATTTGTGTATGTATGTATGTGTATGTATATATATTGTATGTGTGTGTGTATATATATATATATATATATGTGTGTGTGTGTGTATATATATATATATATATATATATATATATATAGAAACACTTCATGATTTGCAGGTGTAAAAGTGATGACATGTTTTGCATTGAGAGTGAGTCCCATGAAGGTTGAGCTTGAGCTCACTTTTGCAGTCACTTTTACAGCATTTGTCTTCTTTTTTCTGGGTCATACTCATGCGCAGTGTCCTTTTGTCTCTTTTTGTCTGTTGACCATGCCGACTGCATTTATGCTTATCAGACGACGTTTTCCCAGAAACTGTATATGCCGTTATGTACTTTACCTCACAATACAGCAAATAAATAGGCAACTTCAGTCACAGAGGCACAGGCTAAACGGGCACCAACATTTTGCCCTCTTTGAAGCTCAGTGAGCTCTGACATGGTTTCACATTACCAGCAGCGCATGCAGTGAATAACGAAAGTGAGGCTTCCCACCTGTTAGTAGCTAGGTGTCTCATCACACAGCGAAAGCACAAGAATGTTACATCACTTCTGCTTTCAACGCGAAACATGTCTGCACTTTCACACCTCCAAATCTTGTAGTGTTTCAATTTTTTTTTTGTCTAACACACGCATCGGCTACTTTATTATGTACACCTTGCTAGTACCGGGTTTGACCCCCTTTTACATTCTGAACTGCCTTCTTTGTTGCATAGATTCAACAAGGTGTTGGAAACATTCCTCAGAGATTTTGGCCATGTTGACATGAGTTACTGTTGCCTTTCTATCCTCTCGAACCAATCTGCCCATTTTCGTCCACACAACTGCTGCTCACTGGATATTTTCTCTTTTTCGGACCATTCCCGGTAAACCCAAGAGATGGTTGTGCTTGAAAATCCCAGTAGATCAGCAGTTTTTTGAAATACTCAGCCCATCTGGCACCAACAACCATGCCACGTTCAAAGTCATTTAAATCTCCTTTCTTCCCCATTCTAATGTTCGTTTTGAACTTCAAGTTGTCTTCACCACGACTAGATGCCTAAATGCATTGAGTTGCTGCCATGTGATTGGCTGATTAGCAATTTGTGTTACCAACCAATTGAACAGGTATACTTAATAAAGTGGACGGTGAGTGTATATAAAAATATGTTTGTTTTTTAAATTGAGACAGATAGTTTACAATATGTTGGGCAAAAACACACAATAAACCGCATAATGTTACAAAAAAAGTACAGTGTTGCGAAAAAGGCTTCATAGCAACAAACAACATAAATGAAAGTAACACAGCAATCTCAATCCAGCTCAAATTCTCAACCACACAGCACTGATTAATTGATAAGGAGGGGATTCTAGTCATGTAGCGGGGTGTCTTAAGTATGAACAAAGTTAAGGGTTTTGTTCCTCACTCTAGGAGAGTGGGTGGAACCTTACATGCCTTTTTATGTCCCTTGACCAATTGTACATCCAGAACCATTGGAGTATAGTATACACACAGCCTAACTGTACAGAGCTATTATTCCAAACTGCATAAAATTGTATCAGTGCAGGGCACAGAAACCACACCATCTTCTAATTAAAGTAGAAATCCTGGCAGAACTGATAAAGATTAAAGCTGGTCCCATTACCCATCTAACACATATACTAAATACCCTATAGAAGTTAGATGCTTACACTTACCTATTCTTAGAGCACTCTGGTCTAGTCACGTGATTAGCTTCAGGGGAGAAGAAGGACCCCCGAAAGGATGCTCCATAGTAAGCCTATGGGTGATGTCACCACCCAGGCATTACATCTGTTGTTAGTGTTCTCACCTCTCCCCTGAAGCTGATCACGTGACTGTACGGAAGCACTCTGAGAATAGGTATTAGCATCTTTCTTTTACAGGGTAGATCGTATAGGAGTTTGAAGGTGGGTGGCACCCGTTTTAGGCATAGTTAGTTCTAGTACGGACTTCTACATTAACAATTTACACTTTTTTTTTTTTGTACTGGATTCTCTTTTGTTAGGTTAGTACAAAGGAAAACTTGACTTTTTCCAAACTTTTAACATATCTGCTTATGAAAGAAACAAATCTGATGGACAGAATTCTGTTTATTTTTCAATGCAATGATCAATCAATCTTGGTATTTTAGGTTTTGCAATAGAATGTTTTAAAAGCTGTTGATTCATACCTGGCAGGTGGAGCATCATGGTGTATGAGACCAAACTGCCAGCTCAGGTTCCAGATCCCTGTACAATATCGGAGCCAAGTGAGGACTGTGAGGTTAGTACACATAATTAATACATGTTCTAGTGCTTCTTCTATAACTCTGGACGAAGTCACCTTGCTGGGAAGTGCCAAGGTCCTTGGTGAGCCAAACAAAACATCTGCAATATATATTTTGTGTTCTCGGCTCTTAAACATCTTTCTTCCTTCCAGGTGCAGCAGATTCTGGGTTATGAAGACTCTGTAGCCGCTCACTTATCTCAGATCCTCAGCTCGGACCAACACTCTGTGATTATCTCATCAGCCAAGTAAGTGCCAGTCATTACAGCTAGCATGCTAACTGTTACCTGTTATGGAATGGTCATTCTAAACATGCTATAGAAGCTTTCCAGAAAAGCAGAAGGGGCATAGAATGTCAGCCACTGCTGCAACTAAGAGTCTATTGTCTGTCATAATCGGGCAGTTCATGCACCAGATGCAGTTGGAAAGAATACAGTGATTGCAGTCATAACAGATATAGCTGCAAAATTGTTTTCAATAGGGTTCTGTGGAGACTTGTCTCGAGCGTCTCTTGCCTCAGGAGATTGCCACAGAGAACCATATGGGAAGCTATAGTGCAAGATTATTGAAAGTAAATGCCACCAAATGAAAGCCTTGCTTGTCCCAAAAACAGTAATATACATAAATGCTCCATATGTAAAAAGGGAGCCAGCCACAGGGTCTAATTAACCTCAAAATTCATAAAAAAATAAACCTACAAATGTGTAGCTCTACCTGTAGCATACAATCAAAATAACCAAAAAAAAAAAAAAAAAACATTTATAAGGAAAAGTACATGAATTGTGAATGTAAAATAAAATAATATTTTATTCTTTTAAAAGAATCTGAAGCATTGAAACCAAGGCTCTGATTTTTAGAGGCCAAAACTAGTAGTGCTCCTAATGACTACTGCAGTAGTATAGTATAACATACCTAGTATGCTTATGAACATAATATAAAAGGAATATACCATACAAATAAATCAGCTGTGTTATGTGACCCAACAATGCACATGACCATCGTTAAGTTCTCAAATAAATCACGCACAATCATAAATCATGCTCAAATGTCCACAGCCATTGATCTGTAAATAATTGTCATGTGACACCTCAAAGGATAGATGTGTAATCCCCAGTTGCAATGTGATGTTGACTGAAATAGGTTGTATTGCATTAGCCACACTGAAAAATACAGATCTTCTTGAGGACGTATATAAACCCACACTGATATGTTCTAGCAATATGCAGAATGAAATCCTCCTCGCAGGTGCAGCACCAAAGTGCATATATGCAACACTCCCCTAAATGGAAGGTGGGTGTATTGCCATGATATATACAAGTACTCAAGGAACAGAAATGATGACCTAACTGGTGATGCTAAAGTTGGGATTGACTTGCATGTGCAGAGGATAGTGGAGACTTGCATCTTCACATAAATCTGATGTACTATGAGACATTATTTGGCATCCGTAATATGAATCTATCCGCACACAGTGAACTTCAGGCACATCTTCCCACCAACATATGCAATGCACTCACATATGGCAAATCTCACAGCACTCTATGGGGAATGTTTAAAAGCAAAGCACCAAACATAATGGCAGATCACCACAAAATGGCGAAATAAAGCCTGCAATATTCCAGCCAAACATGCATTGTATGGGTGTAAGAAACATAATACTGTAATTGAATGAATACAAAGTACTGTACCATTTATCAAGCAAGTAGTATTGCACATTGCAGACTCCACAGTCAGTGCGAGCAATATAACAAGCATCTGCATTGGTGGGTAGGAAATCCAGCACCAGGCCTCTGGGTAGAAATCTCGATCAGTTTCACCAGATGGTTCCAGGGCAAGTTACATTGGTATCATTTGTTCTTCCTATTTCATTATGTTTATTAGATTTACAGTATAAATGTGACAATAGAATTTGATAATTACACTTGCATAAATAATAGCCTTCGCATTCAGCATTTGGAAGTGTACAGCAACAAGTTAGTCAAACAAAGGTAACAGATTAACCACTAGAATTATTCCTTAAATAACACAGTCCAAAGGTATTAATACTTATATTGAGAGGATATATGGGTTTAGATCCAGGTTATACCACCAGTACTAAAATAAAAAAAAAAACAAAAAAACGGGGGTCTATGGTGGTGAAATCCTATATGATTTTACCTCCCAACATGTGGCCTTGTCCTTCCTTAAATGTCATCCCCAAGAGATATGTATGATGTCACAAGTCTGTAGGATGTGAGGTAAGCTGTTCGTGAGATGTTGCAGGCACCACACCCTGGCACCAATCATTCCATGGTTAGTTGCTTAAGTTACGTATATTCTCCATTGGAATATTTGGTCATATAATTAAACCACCTGACCATGGCAGCAGGTTTAACTATTTGTGTTTACAAACAGGTGTACCTAATAGATAAGAAGAGGCTGAGGTCGCTTTTTATAGATCCACATATAATGGGGGAAAACGTGTATATATAGATACAAACCATCTAAATACAAATTGTACCTAATATGATGGTAGTCTGATTTTCTTTTCATATATTCTTAGGGTCCTGTGTGAAACTGTAAAAGATTTTGTTGCCCGCGTTGGAAAGGCCTATGAGAGAATGACAGAGAGTTGTGAAGAATCTGAAACAATGGCAGGAAAGGTATTTTATTCTCCAGGTTCAATTTAAAGAACCAATGTATTTCATTTCATTGCAGTTATGACTTGAATACAGGTCATTTTTTTAGCTTTGTTAATGCACTTTTAAAACTGAATGTTACACTGGATAACTTTACCCTCTTGTTTTTTGGAACGTGGTTCTTTAAATATCATACAATGTGATTTCCTGAATTTTTTTTTTAAACTTCTGTCTCTCAGAGTGGGAATGCACCTACAATGTGAATTTCAGACCCCTCCATGATTTCTAAGTGGGAGAACTTGCAAAATCGCAGGGTGTTCAAATACTTCTGTTCCTCACTGTATAATGAGGTTTCTTAAATTTGACTTCAAAGGTGGAAATACACTTTATAATCTGAAAAATTACTTTATATTCTGCAGTGCACTGTTCTTCGAGAGAAGCTGGACTCCCTCTTGAACACTTTGAATGAGGAGTCCCAGGCTACGTCAGTCCTGTCCCAACCTCCGCCTACAATAAATGAGGAGATGGAAGAGTCTTCAGAAAATGCCACATGCCCTCCAGTTATCTCTCCTTCTCCAGTGCGATCTCAGACTTTTCGGCCTCGTGAACAGCTCATGCTTAGAGCCAACAGTCTGAAGAAAGCCATTCGACAAATAATTGAGCAGGCAGAGAAAGGTAGGTAATACAGATATCTTCATAAATGTTCCATGTGGATAAAAGGCAGGCCTATTGTCTTGGTTCTTTAACATAAACTACAGTAATGCATTTCACATACGGCAATATTATATTCCACAAAATGCAGTTTAACCATTTCAATACCGTGCAATTTTACACCTTCCTGCCCAGGCCATTTTTCAGGTTTCAGCGCTCTCACATTTTGAATGACAATTGCGCGGTCATACAACACTGTACCCAAACTAAAATTTTATCATTTTCTTCACACAACTAGAGCTTTCTTTTGGTGGTATTTAATCACCGCTGGGGTTTTTATTTTTTGCTAAATTAACAAAAAAAGTCCAAAAATTTTGAAAAAAAAACCACATTTTTCTTTGTTTCTGTTATAAAAGTTTACAAATAAATAATTGTTCTTCATAAATTTAGGCCGAGATGTATTCTGCTACATGTCTTTGGTGAAAATAACCCAAATTAGGATGTATTTTTTAGTTTGTAGGAAAGTTATAGAGTTCACAAACTATGGTATAGATCTGAATATTGATCAATCCTGAAGTAGACAGCCAATCTAATTTCTTGAGGTCCAAGAATGTCAGAACAGTACAGATATCCCCAAATGACCCCTTTTTGCAGAGTAGACAGTCCGACGTACTTCATAAGAGGCATTGCGAGTTTTTTTAAGTTGTATTTTTTTGTCATAATTTTTCGGAAAATTTAAAAAAATTATTTTCACTATTTTTTTTTTTTACATACTGTCACCAGTGCAGTACAGCGTCATCATATAACTGGCATGGCGGTGAACAGGGACACTGACTGGTGACAGTATGAAAAAAAAAAATATATATATATTTTTTTTTTTTACTATATTTAATTTTTTATTACATTTTTTTTTTTATTTTTTTAAAGATTTTTTTTCATATTTTACTATGACCAAAGTAGTACAATGTTACCATAGTAACATTGTACTACTTTGGGGAAGTGATCAGTATTTTTTTTTTTTTTTTTTTTTTTTACACAATTTGCTTATAGCAAAGAATTACTTTGCTATAAGCAAGCATTTACCTGAATGAAATCGATTCATTCAGTTTTTTTTTTTTTTTTTTTTTTTTGTTTTTGTTTTTTTTTTGTGCTTAGCTGTGATTTGGTCACAGCTAATCACATGACATGTGCATGTGATTAGCTGTGACCATTCACAGCTAGGCACTAGTATACAATGGATGGCATCATGAATGAAGCCATCCATGTATACAACTGTCATATGACCTGCTGTGATTGGTCACAGCAGGTCACATGGTACCAGCAACGGGAGCCGGTACTCGGATCTGTCATCGGCCGTGTCCGAGGTGCACGGCCGGTGACAGATCGCACTGCTGCGCCGCTCTGCATTAGCGCAAACGGCGCATGTGCGGGAGCACGCCATGGCGTGCACCCGGAATGGAGAGACACATCTGAAGCCGCCAAACGGCCATTGGCCGGGCGGCTAATGGTTAAATACAAACTTAAGAAGTTAAAAATATGATTCATCCCAGCAGTAGTTCGGTTATAATTTCAGAGGAAATTTGGCAAATAGATCATCGATTGCTTTCCTTACAGCTGTTGATGAACAGAATGCTCAAAGTAATGAAGATTTCCTCCTGTCCTTTCCTCCAGAGGATGGTAAAGATCGAAGTTCGGCAAGCACAGTGAACACACATAGTGTCAATGCTCTGCCCAGGATAAGAGCATCAAGCAGAGGTAACTTTCTATTAAGAGGAGAGTTCAGAATTACTAAACTACATATGCTAAGATCACATACATGCAACATAGTTGGTCGATTCCATAAAGCACATCTGAACAAGCTGGTGCCAGAAAAAGTGCTTCTAAAGTTCTTGTCATGAGTATATCCAATAATGGAAAAATATATTTTACACATAATATACATAGGATTTGCAAGTCCTGTCCCCCTCGCAAAAAAAAAAAAAAAAATCAAAAACAATATGGAATATACATAGATGTAAATTTTGGTGCTGAGAAACCTTTAAAATATTAATTTTTACTATGTTTATTTGTATTCTGTTTACATCTATTTTTGTATCTATATTTGAAAGTAAAACATAATCCTAGATGTTAAGAGGTACCTGTAGTTGAGCTTAAGGGCTCTTGCACACTGGCGTCAAAAATGCTATGTTTTAGGCATTCAGGGTTTTTTGGGTTTTTTTTTTTAGGATCCTAATACTGCCCATTGCATTCAATGAGCCTGTACACACAGGCACATAAATATCAGTAAACTGGTGCCCTGTTTTAAATCAGTAAAATAAAAAAGAAATCAATAGATATGTAAATCAATAAATTAACCCTTCTATCAGGGGCGGACTGACCATTTGGAAACTCGGGCACTGCCCGAGGGCCCGGGGTCAGTAGGGGGCCCCATGAGATGCTCCTGGTACCTTTTTTATAGGCTTTTTTGAGTTAGGGCAAGGACACAGGGACCCAATGATCCCCTATTGCCCGGGGCTCCCATGAGTTGTCAGTCCGCCCCTGCCCTCTATGCAGATCAATTATAGCAGCTGTATACTAATTACCCCATTGAAAGTGTCAATATGTCTAAAAAAGTAAAAACTATAAATCTCCCACAAATACAGTGCTCAGACCTCAAGTGAAACAATGTTGCAAAACATTTAATACAACATTGCAAAGTAAAGTGCTACAAAATAAACAATGTTGTTACTTGTGCTTTGCCACAAATGTTTATAGGTTAAATAACACCAGAAGTCCCATCCACACTATTTGTGTGATTAAAACACTCAAAAAAATGGTGGAAAAATGGAATTTCAATAAAATCCAAAAGCAGATATAGTTGAACCTAGTTCCAAGAAAAAAGAAATACGAAAAACTGCATTACTGGTTAGTATTTTTGTGCAAGTACGAACGTAAATCAAAGCTCCCTTTTGAATATATTGTGTGAATATTTGACATTCTTGGAGTGAGAAGAACATTTACACATGTATGTGCATGAAGATGCGAGCACTATACAAATACAAATCGGGTACTTTCTGGTATTCATATATCAGTAGCACGTGCAAGGAAACCTACAGTAGAGTATTTGTAGGTGCACTATTATAGACCAGCACTTCACACAGTCATGTGAAAAAGTAAGTACATCCAATGGAAGTTGTTGACTATTTGCACAGGCAAACATTGGATCTTGTTTAAAATAGTGCATATAGTAGATAACAGTGATATACTTGAGCAGAAGACCCCTACAATTTACATGGTTTATTCATTTTCAAAATCTAAATTAACAAAAATGCAGATTTAAGTTATGGAAAAAAGGAAGTACACCCCTACATTTACCACCATCAACTCAAAACCGTGAAATTAGAAAGAATTTGAATCAGATCTTCCAGTTTAGGTGCAGTGATTAGAGCCTCCTTAGGGAGGATGCAGTGGGACTGTGTTATATAAACGGCAGAGATTTAGGGCCTGGTGTTCTCTTTGCTATTGACAAGTTTAGGTTTATTATTCCAAGATCAGTAAAGCTCTTAAAGGTCCTCAAAAAAAGTTGTGGCTGCTTATGAGTCTGGTGAGATTTGATTGCCAAATATATATTATGATATGAAATTGATTATTTTCCTTACAAAATTAAACTATCTACAAAAGGTATAAGTTTCAAACTACTGCTAATTTGTCCAGGAATAGCCAGACCAGCAAATGCAGCCCAAAAGCTGATGGAAGTCTCCCAAGAACCCAATATTTCATCATAGGGTGTAAGGTAACTATTGCAACAGCTGAGGTCATGTGCATGCATCTACAATCAGAAAGAGATGCCACCAATTCAACCGACATAGGTGTGTCTGTGCTTAGAACAAGATTACAGTTTGCCATTGGACATATAGCTAAAGATTAGGCCTTCTAGAACAATGTGCTGAAGACTGCTCAAATATAGAATTGTGTGGTTACAGTAACAGTAGATGCACTGGCTGCAAACTGAAGACCATATTTAAGTTGAAGAACTTCACAATAACTGTGAAGCATGATGGTGGAAATGTTATGATTTGGTGTTACTTTGCTGCTTCAGGGCATGGTCAGCTTGTAGTCGTCAGGTCAAATGAACAGTCTGCGTCATATCCAAGTGTACTTGATGAGAATGTATGAATCCATCTGTCCACAAGTGGACGTTGAATCACAAATTAGTCTTTTAACATGATAATGATCAGAAGCACACTAACACATACACCAAGGAATGTCCTAAAAAGAAGACATAGATAGTTATGGAAAGCCTTAGTGAGAGTTCTATTTTTATTCCAGTCAAAAGATTGTAGGGAGCTTTAAGAAAAGGCAGGTCATGCAAGGAAACTTACAAACATTATACAGTTGAAGTGGTCAAAAATTCCAGTTGCTGTCAAAGACTGATGGGTTGTTATACAAAATGCCTACCAAAGAAATAATTTCTTCTAAAGGGACAATACAAGGTTTTGAGGGTTGTACTTACTTTTTTCCACAGTACACCATTACATCTGTTGATATTTGTGTTGAATAAATGTTTTTTTAAAAGGCAATTTTTTAATATGTGTTCATTCAAGTATATCACTCCTGTAGGCACTGTTTGAATAAAGATCTAAAGGTTTGTCTTTTCAAAGTTCAACAATTTCCATGGGTCATATGAATGTGTGGGCAGGTGTTCTGTTTATTAAGTGCAGACAAAAAACAAATCTTTTTGTCCATAGAACGTTGGACAGAGGGCCAAGGACTAGCAGCACAGTAGTGATATCACCAAATGTCACTCCAAATCTTCTGAAACTAGCAGCAGAGGCAACAGTGCCTAAGATCTTATACTTCAGATATATGTTTGAGGGTTGTTCTGTCTCTCCAATCTAAGCATTGAAAGTGTGATCTCTGTAACTTACAGTTGCAATGAGATAGCCAAAACTCCAATCTCAGTTGAATACCACAGTCAGTGACTCCATACAGAAGACATCTTGTAGATCTTGTGAAGTTTATTCCATAAACAGAGAGAATCTTACAACAATGAACATCTGATAAGTCAAAATATCATATTGTGATCTACTTCCATAAGACATGAGGCTACAAGCTGAAATGCATTACTGGGAAAAGGGGAGGGCTATCTATACAGCATGAACTAAACCAGAGGAAAGGGAGAAGCAGAAACAAAATATAGAGAACACTTAAAGGCATATGACAGTCATGTGAAACATGACAAGGGTGTAAGGACAGGAGTGCCTAGGGACCCTTCTAACCAGCAAGCGCTGTTTTTTTTTTAATTTTCCAGGAGAAATTCAAGAAAAAAGGGTTTTTTTTTTTTAGGGCATTGTTTGTACACCATTAATTTTAGTTTTTTTAAGCCAAATTTTATTTTGGTTTCTCTTTCAGATCATATAAACCTCACTTTTTACAATTAACATTTCTGAATGTTCCTTTTAACCTATCAAATATTCATTTTCTGGGTTTAGGCCCACTTTAAATGTTTATAAAACACTATATTTTTTATAGCAGGCAAATCAGAAAGAGCAACCAGTAAAAGCAGCCTCTCTGTGGGAGCCTCTACATCCCTCCCTGCTGCTAATACCCATCGGGAGCATATGCACCAAAGTGAGATATTCACCCATAAATGTCTTGAATGTCCTGATATGGCTATATACATGTACTAAATACTGTATCACTGCTTTTTTTCATTTGTTCTAGACATGAGAGCTGGAATGTCTGGATCTTTACCCGGGAATTCCATCATTAGCCGTCTGCTTATTAGTGCTGACCCATTTACCTCGGAACCAGACTTGTAAGTGGAGTTGATGAGATTTTAGTAAAACACTGACATATCTGCTGTGTAGCTGTTATCCCTCCAGGCTCATAACTCAGCCTCATGAGTTGTATTTATAGTATTCTACATTGTACCACCTACATCAAGCCCCTCTAAAATGCAGTTTTATTTATGATTTTTTTTTTTTTTTTAATGGTATGCAACTGTATTTTACCAGATACTTGTACCAAGCTAAAGCAAAGAAGAGTTGGTCACGAATGTGGCAGGGAAAAGTAACAAATAACATTGTGAGAAATCTGTTGATTTGCTGCTTCTTGTGTAAATCCCCCCCTCTAGTGGACAAAAAGGGGGATTTTTTGTGCTTTCCATAATATTAATTAAAAACTTCCTTTTTGAGATATTTAAAAGGTGGATGAGTCCTGGGGGGAGGTTGAGGGTGGTGGGGACCTGGAGACAGGAAGTAACATGTTGACATGGTTCCATAGGTGACCTGACGATAGGAGCCATCAAGGTAGACCCCCAACACAAAGACTTTAGACCAGTAGTCTCCATACTGCGGCCTGGAGGCCATATGTGGCCCTTTGCTTGCCTCCTATTTGTCCATTGCGACACTAATCCTCCAACTGACAACAATGATGAGGCACCATTCCTCCCACTGAGACCATCGATGGGGCACTATTCCTCCTGCTAGGACCAATGATGGAGCACTATTCCTTCCCATGACACCATTGATGGGGTACTATTCCTCCCATTGATACCAAGCATGGGGCACTATTTTCTCCTGCTAAAACCAACCATGGAGCACTATTTCCTCCTGCTAAAACCAACCATGGAGCACTATTTCCTCCTTCTAAAACCAACCATGGAGCACTATTTCCTCTTGCTAAAACCAACCATGGGGCACTATTTCCTCCTGCTAAAACCAACCATGGAGCACTATTTCCTCCTGCTAAAACCAACCATGGAGCACTATTTCCTCCTGCTAAAACCAATGGAGCACTATTTCCTCCTGCTAAAACCAACCATGGGGCACTATTTCCTTCTGCTAAAACCAACCATGGGGCACCATTTCCTTCTGCTAAAACCAACCATGGGGCACCATTTCCTTCTGCTAAAACCAACCATGGGGCACCATTTCCTTCTGCTAAAACCAACCATGGGGCACCATTTCCTCCTGCTAAAACCACAATGGGACACCATTCCTCCTGCTAGGACCAATGATGGAGCACTATTCCTTCCCATGACACCATTGATGGGGTACTATTCCTCCCATTGATACCAAGCATGGGGCACTATTTCCTCCTGCTAAAACCAACCATGGGGCACTATTTCCTCCTGCTAAAACCAACCATGGAGCTCTATTTCCTCCTGCTAAAACCAACCATGGAGCACTATTTCCTCCTTCTAAAACCAACCATGGGGCACTATTTCCTCTTGCTAAAACCAACCATGGGGCACTATTTCCTCCTGCTAAAACCAACCATGGGGCACTATTTCCTCCTGCTAAAACCAACCATGGGGCACTATTTCCTCCTGCTAAAACCAACCATGGGGCACTATTTCCTCCTGCTAAAACCAACCATGGGGCACTATTTCCTTCTGCTAAAACCAACCATGGGGCACCATTTCCTTCTGCTAAAACCAACCATGGGACACCATTCCTCCTGCTAAAACCAATGATGGGGCAGTGTTTGCTCCCACTGATTCCAGGACATTTTCTAGTCACACCGTCCACAGTCCGGCCCCCCTAAAGCCTGAAGGAGAGTAAACTGGCCCTTTATTCTAAAGCAGGGGTCTCCAAAATTTTTAAACAAAGAGTTTAAAACCAAGGGACTTTGAATAAAATCACAAGAACCATTATCTGTCTCTTGATGGTGTTCAACATAAGTAAAATGAGTAAATGGTTCTAAGGTTAATTAAGACACACACTAGGAGATATAGATGGCATCTGCAAAAAAGTGGAGCAAGTTAAGAACTTGGCTACTTTGTGGTTGTGGCTAGTAACAAACAGGTCAATTTCTAGAGTTCCCTAACAGTTGCAGAACATCAGATTCCTCCTGGCACAGAATCATTTCCCCCAAGGCAAAGTAACGTTCCGCTCCCAAGGTTAACTGCAGACAGCTAGAACTTGATAAGTTGTCCAGTAAAAGATATAGACTATCTTTCTCACTGCTGCCTGTTTCTTCTTGAGTTCAGTGAAAAAGAAATAAATAGCTTAGATCTGCAGAATGACGATTAGTAAGGGTAGCTCCTCCAAAGTCCTTCTACCTTGTATGAAAATATCTCTTAGGACGCTTTCCATAGAAAGGGCTCTTGGAGCTGTGGTGAGAAATTTGGAGGTGAGTAAAAGGTCGACTCATAGACAGCAGAGGGGAGCAAAGGCACCAAAGAAGGGTGTGCCTGGTTTGAAGAAGCAGGTGAACCCTGCTGTCCAGAGAGGGAACCTACTTTTCTTATGAATAAAAGCATCCTGGAGTGGCCTGGTTGAATTGGGAATTGCTTCAGAGGAGGAAACCATCAGCCCCAGAAACTGCATACACAGTCAAACTTTCAGAACTGGGTAACCTGCCTCTTTAAAGTAGTTAGCTTGGGTGGGAAAGTTGGTAGACCCTGTCTGAGCTAGTGTCTAGAATCATGACCAAGTATACTCTGCACTGGTAAAGATTCATGGACGTTTATAATTCTCTGTAATCTGATCTGCAGACTTCATAAGGCCTCATGACAAACTAGAGCCTCAATGAGTAGATCAGTCAGGTAAGGGATCATAGAGTACCCATTGGATAAAAATATCAAGCCAAAAATGCAAGAGTACAAAGGATTTTGTTGAACAATTGCACAAAAGAATAGAAGTGACGTGAACAGTTCAGAATAAATGATAATGCAAACATAAATAACAGTGTTTCATAAAAGCATACCCCGATCCACTTATGACCTCCTGCCAGGATGCCTGAGTGGCCACCGGTCAGACCCTGAAGCCAGGAGAACATCATTCGCCCTGTAGGCTGTTACATCATTTGACATAGAACGTACACAAAGTTAGGATTGCCAGTTCCAGTGAAGGAATGAAGTGGTGGGGGAGTGCAGAATCTGAATGTGTTCAGAACCTTGTATCTTTATGGGATAATGATGACCACAGAGAATTCCTGAAATTTAGGAATGTCTCCAAGAAAAACCTCTTCATTGCAGGTGACATTTACTTTGAAAACCTGTACAACTTGTCTTGTCTGTTACAGATTGTCTTATAATTAACCACTTCAATACCAGGCACTCTTACCCCCTTCCTGCCCAGGCCAACTTTCAGCTTTCAGTGTTGTTTTTTCACACAAATAGAGCTTTCTTTTGGTGGTATTTAATCACCGGTGAGTTTATTTTTTGCTAAATAAAAAACCCTGAAACGTTTGAAAAAAAAAAAGCATTTTTCTTTGTTTCTGTTATAAAATTTTGCAAATAAATAACATTTCTTATACATTTAGGTTAAAATGTATTCTTCTACATTTCTTTGTTGAAAACACCCCAAATTAGTGTATATTTATTTATTTAATTTATTCCAGGTACTTATATAGTGCCGTCAATTTACGCAGCGCTTTTACATATATATATTATACATTAACATCAGTCCCTAACCCTCAAGGGGTGTACAATCTAAGGTCCCTAACTCACATTCATACATACACATACTAGGGACAATTTAGACAGGATCCAATTCACCTACCAGAATGTCTTTGGAGTGTTGGAGGAAACCGGAGTACCCGGAGGAAACCCACGCAGGCACAGGGAGAACATGCAAACTTCAGGCAGGAGGTGCCGTGGCTGGGATTCGAACCAATGACCCTAGTACTGCCAGGTGGAAGTGCTAACCATTTAGCCACTGTGTATTATTTAGTTTGTAGGAAAGTTATAGAGTCCACAAACCATGGTATATATATATCTGACAATCGGTCAATCCTGTTGTACTGATGGCCTATCTCATTTCTTGAGGCCCGAAAATGCTAGGATAGTACAAATACCCCCCAAATGACCCATTTCTGGAAGATAGATAGTCCAAGGTATTTAGTAAGAGGCATGGAGAGTTTTTTTTGGAGGTTGTAATTTTTTGTTACAAATTTTTTTTTTTTTTGGAAAATTTAGAAATTAAAATTTTTTTTTTTTTTTTTTTTATTATTACATATTGTAACCAGTCCAGTACAGTGTTATTATATAACTGGTGTGGCACTGATCAAGGACACTGACTGGTGACAATATGTAAAAAAAATAAAAATAACTTAATGTTTATTTTTTTTTCAAATTTTACTATTTTTTATTACATTGTTTTTTTCTTTTTTTTACTATTATTTTTCAACACACGGTGACCAAAGCAATACAGTGTTACCATTGTAACATTGTACTACTCTGGGCAAGTTATCAGAATTTTTTTTTTTTTTTACACATTATGATTGCTAATACCAATGTATTGCAATCATTGATACTGAATGAAACTGATTCATTCAGTCTTTTGTTGTGATTAGCTGTGAGTGGGCAAAGCTCATCACATGATACAGATGGGCTATGATTGGCCCTGTCTGTACCATGTGATTGCTTTGACCAATCACAGCTAACAACACAATTGTATACAATGGATGGCATGCCAGGTAGCCATCCATTGTATGCAATTGGCATATGATCTGCTGTGATTGGTCACAGCGGTCACATGACACTAGCAATGGGCCAATGTAGTGTTATGTCATTGGCTGTGTCCCGTGGACACAGCTGGTGACAGATTGTGCCGCTGCGCGGCCCCCACAGCCGCGTGAGTGGCTCCTTTTGACAGGACGTCATATGACACCCAGTCACAGGGAGGAGTGTCCCACCTGGCCTACAATCTGCTAATGGCCGGGCAGGAAGGTGTTAATATTAACAAAATAAATGAATATTTATAAAATAATACCATAAACAAAATACAGCATGCATCCAGAAAACTAAAAGCCAAATTAAAACTTATTTTCAGATATGTTTACCAGAACAAACACCTGCTAAAAATTACCTTTGATTTCTTCTTTGTCAGGAATTGTTACACAGAAAGATGTGTAATGAACAATTACTTTGGGATTGGACTGGATGCAAAGATATCTTTGGATTTTAACAACAAAAGGGATGAGCACCCCAAGAAATGCAGGTAAGTTAAAGTAAAGCTGGCAGTGGTGAAATAATTTCAGTGCTATATGCTAGTTTATCTGATCTTCTTCTCTTTGATGGAAGAAGTCGCACAAAGAACATGATGTGGTATGGTGTACTGGGGACCAAAGAGCTGCTACAGAGAACGTACAAGAACCTGGAGCAGAGAGTGCTTCTAGAGGTGAGAACTGCAGCCTTTCAAACCTACCTATTTACTCCTGTATCTGTCCCTACTGTATGTCCTTTCCTGTGTCCTTCATTCTTTTCCTTAAGGTGTATTTGTTTGTGGCTTGATGTGAACTAATCTTGGAGAGCACACTCTGCTTGAACTCTAAATGTTCTGATCTATGAAGTATAGCTTTGACATTACATATAGCATGTGTTTGTCGCAGCACCCAATATGCACATACCAGGTTAGTCACTCCTAAAGTAATCTTCACACTCGACACACTTCCCGGTGTGTTGGATGCCTGCATCCTCTGCCACATTCTGTGGTTTTATCTGCCAAAGCCTACAACGCTACAGTTTACAGTAATGGTAAAGGGTCTAGTTCAGGACAAAGTAGCAATTTACCCATCAACTTTACAACTGACACTCATTTTAACTCACTCCCCCTGACCCCACCCTTTTTCACCTGTCAGAGCCCTGCAGGTAGGACTCACCCCACTGGCTCACTTAAAGTAGAATTCTGGGAAAACTTTTTTTTTTTTTTTTTTTTTTTTTTTGCCTGTGCAGTGGGGCTGTGCTGGCACTGCACAGGTTAACTGCTCTTTTTGTTCTAGGGGAGAGGTCATGGAAGACGTACAAACCTGACCCGCTGATCCTCCCGGCACAAGACCATTTTTGTTCAGCTCTTGCCCCTACGTGGTCCAGCGATCTTTGTAAATGTTCTGCTCCTGACTTCAGCACACTCCATAGACAGGAACAGTTCACTGCTGGACCATATGGTAGTACAGTATTCCGTAGGATCAGTGGGTCAGGTGAGTAGGAGCTTTGTCCTCACCCCCAGAAAAACAAGCAGCTGATACATGCAGTGGGAGTACAGCCCCACTGCATGGTGAAAAGTAAAAAAAATTGACTGGAGTTCTGTTTTAAAGGGCCACTTTTTATTTTTAAAAAATAACAAACGTCATACTTACCTGCTCTGTGCAATGGTTTTGCACAGAGCAGCCTGATCCTCCTCTTCTCGAGTAGCCTGCCGGCACTCCTAACCCCTCCCACCTGCTTAGTGCCCCCATAGGAAACAATTTGCTATGGGGGTACTCATGCATGCTTGCTCCTGAGCCGGATCTGTGTGTCCATAAGACATATAGAGCGAGTCTTGTACTCGCCCCCCACTCCCTCCTCCCTGGCTGTGTTTGATAGCAGCAGGACCTAATGGCTCCGGCTGCTGTATTTGAGCCTATGAAGAGAGAGCCGAGAGAGCCTCTGCTCACGTGCACATCATTGGATTGACATCGGGCTCAGGTAAGTATGGGGGGAGCTTGAGCTGCTTTCAGAAGGTTTCTTACCCTAATGCATGCAGTGTATTAAGGTAAAAAAAAAAAAAAAAAACCTTTTGCCTTTAGAACCACTTTCACTGTACAGGTAATTTGAGCTTGAGCTATTGAGCTCTGGCCTTTATTAGTAAAGAAGTAAAGATTTGCTTGGTAAACAGATGAAAAGGAACCTACAACTTGTTTTACTTGCCAGACTACAAAAAATTGTCCTCCTACTTTTTATTTAGCCTTGAACAAAATAAAGGAAATAGAAATAACCCCATAATGTACATCTACTATTGACATTGACATGAGCTAGATTTAGTGACAGGCCACCTACTGTACATGACTCAGCTTCCATCTTCATTTCACATGCATCTCATTCAACTCACATCACTGCTTCCTCACCATCTTCTGTATGTATGGAATCCCTGTAAACAGTGTTTCTTCATCTCGTGTGTCTCTGTGTCTGTCCCTAACACTGGTTGTGTCTGTCTCTCTTCTTTTAGATGTCTGTCTCTTTCTTTCTCAGTGGATGTGCGTGTCTACTTCCACTTACCCCCATATCCCCCGCAGTGTGATGGAGTGCCAATTCCCTTACCCAGCCTGCAAGGAATTGCTGTACTGAACATTCCCAGTTACGCCGGCGGCACAAACTTCTGGGGAGGCAACAAAGAAGATGATGTAAGTTTCTCTTAATTTTAGTGTCCATCTGGAGTGCATTTTTATTGTGTGACTATTATAAATACTTTATTCCCTGCTTTCTTCAGACATTTGCTGCACCTTCTTTTGATGATAAAATCTTGGAGGTGGTTGCTGTATTTGGCAGTATGCAGATGGCAGTGTCCAGGGTCATCAAGCTGCAGCATCACCGGATTGCTCAGGTAACACTTAACTGACATTGCTACATGGATATATAATTCTTATTTACCATTTGTAGCCAGTAGATGGCTAGTGTGATGGTCCACAGTCTCAGCAGGTATACTAATGTGCTGTTAGTTAACAGAGTCTGTTTTTACAAATAAAGCTGAATGTGCTGAAGGAGAGCTGGTGCTATCTAGATTTTCAGTCAGCCAGTCAGTCAGGGCATTGTGTGTTACATGCAGTGAAGCATCAAAACAGTCCATATCAAATATTTATTCTTATGTCAACTGTATTATAACATAAAATATGTTTATTAACTAGTATATAAAATAATATTGAAAAAAATCCACCTAAATTTCCTGTTTCGATGCAGGACAAAGCAACAATTTTATTTTTAACGACCACAGAGTTGTTGTGTTTTACTGCTTCTTTTTACAGTGCAAATCTGTTAGCTGGCCCACTCAGTATGCAGCTGATAAATTATCTAAGGCAGGGATTTGCAAACATTAACAAAGGGCCAGTTTACTGTCATTCAGACTTTAGGGGGGCCGGACTGTGTCCAGTGGGAGAAAACAATGTCCCATCTTTTGTGTCAGTGGAAGGAATAATGCCCCATCTTTGGTGTCAGAGGGAGGAAATATGTCCCATTGTTAGTGTCAGTGGAAGGAATAATGTCCCGTTGGTGTCAGCGGGAGAAATAGTGCCCTGTTGTTGGTATCATTGGTGGGAATTATGCCTCATTGTTGGTGTCAGTGGCAGGAATAATCCCTCAAGGGCCTGATAAAGGCAAGCAAAGGGCCACGTCCGGCCCCCAGGCTACAGTTTTGAGACCTCTGATCTCAGCAATTGAAAGGCAGCACCAATGCACCCTAGTACTACCTCATGAGCTCCCTCTAGTGGATGATCTGCAAAACATTTTTTTAATACAGTAACAAAAAGCAGAGTCAAGGTGTATAATGTACTATGCACACACAGTATATAGTTTAGTTATATTTTAACCTTGCATCAAAATAATCAAAGAAATTGTCTAAAGTACAAAAACAGGAACTTGTTAAATAACAAAATATATACACCCAATGGTGTAAAATAAGCAGCGTCAGAAATAACAAAAAATACTGACAATTTTGAAAAATCATTTTCCCTATATTCCTGTATAAGTAATGATTTAGGTCTAATATGAGTTTGTAACTGAAACATCCAGAAGACTTCTGCAGAATTGATACCAGGAAAGCTTTTTATTAATATAACTCCGTATATAGATGGCCATTTGTCAGCAGGTGCCATTATAAGGCAATAGAAGGAAAACTGAATATATGGAAGATTTTTTGACACCATTACAGCTCTCAAAGGACTGTGGACAAAGATAAAGGGGAAAGGTTTTATTGGCTGATTTGCTTGATTTAGCAGGCTATAACAACAAAAATGTAAAAGTCACAATTGCAAGATTACTTTTAGACTCACTTTAAAATAACTTAAGATTTGTACTTGTTGGAAATTCAATATAGCGTCATATTAAGTTTTCATTTTCTAATTGTATTTTTCTGTAGTGTGCCGAATGGTGAAAATTACAGTACTCGGTGATGAAGGGGTCCCTGTGCAAGTAGATGGAGAGGCTTGGATTCAGCCACCAGGTTATATCCGTATAGTGCACAAGAACAGGACACAGACCCTCACCCGAGACAGGGTAATTCTGTCAACATTTGTGGATTTTACAACAGCAATAACAGACACATGTTAAACAGTTTGCTATTATGGTGCTGGTTTCCTGAATATGGAAAGGTTATTCATACACCTGAACACATAGACCTCATGATTGTTATGCGATGATGATGTAGTCCATAACAACCAGTCAGCTTTTCCTTAGGCAAGGTCAGGGGGCACTTGTATACAAAATTATACCTGCTAAAAAAGATAGGAGCAAGGAAGTGGTGGTGTTTCAACACCAGAAAGGTAAGTATATTCTTTTGTATTCTTTCTTGCCTTTGTATTCAAGTGACCCTGTGCCACAAAAGGTGTAAACTCCTAGGGGTTCCTGCAGATATGTCAGGAGCCTGCAGCACCCTCAGTTACAACCTATGATGGGGCAATCTTGTTATTTTATATCTTTTTCAGGCCTTTGAAAGCACCTTAAAATCCTGGGAAGATAAACAGAAATGTGAGTTGTCAAGACAAACCACCTCCACTCTCTCTCCTACATCTTTACACCCCGAAGTCCTCTCTGATGAGGAGGCAGCACAGGTGTCTCGGTTTGGCCAGGCTGCTGGTGCTCTCATTCACTGGTGAGACTTTGCTAGAACCATGTAAACATTGACTTTGTGTGATTTTTGGCTGTCTGAAAGTATTATATGCAGTACAGAGGTTACTTTTATTTATTGGTACACCAAGACCTGAGTGTTAGGTATCATTTGGTACTTCATGATCCCTGCTGCTCAGGGGACAGCTTGTATGCATATTTTGAACATTAGAAAATAAATACAGACCTTTAATTGCATAGTTATTTTTAGTATCAATTACTGAAAATGTTGAAAGACCTGATGGTTTCTCTTTAATACATATATACAAACTTAGAGCAACTAGAGGCAGTAGAATAAACATAATTGTAAATTGTGCTTGCAGCATTAAAGAAATAGCAGTTTCTCATCAGAGTATAGAGCAGGAGCTGGCTCATGCTGTCAATGCAAGCTCAAAGTCAATGGAGAAAGTCTACAACAAGAACTCAGAGGTATTGTCTGTTATCTTACATAGTTTTACAATGTACTCAGAGGTTATGTCTGTTACGCCCTTGAATATGCTTAATGATGGCTATTCAGGGAAGATCAATAATCAATTTTGAAGGAAAGTGAAGCTCAGGAACCTAGTGACCAGTTTTGTTACATTGTTGTCTATGGGTTATGTAATTAAGTATTTTTTTTCCAAGACAGTATTACCTAAGGAAGGCACTGTTTGTTCTAAAAAGAAAAATAAATGTATATGACATAATCTTAAGTAAGGACAAAGCTATCACCGATTCAACGGGCCCATAGCAGAAATGGAAAAATTGCTCTGGCATGGGGCTGTAAAAAATGTGAAAGCTTAAATGGTTAACAACATTTAGAATGTCAGGGTGTTTTATTACTTATTATTATTATCTATTTTGTGATTTATATATATATATATATATATATATATATATATATATATATACAGTTTAGTTTTTTTTTGACTTCCAATCCTAACTGCCACCCTTGAATCTATCATGTTATAGAACCTTACTTCTTGGTCTGTACTTTTGGCATCCAGGGTCCGCAGATGCCAGGTACACACGTCATGTTTGAGACAAGCATTTTGAATCAGGTTTCCTCCTGTTATCTAAACCAGAACTGCATACTGAATATACTGAATGTTATATTGTAGGTAATTCTGTAACTGTGTATAACGTTAACTGTATTGTCGCAGGGTCTAAGCTGCAATCATGTTTTGGAAATGGTAACGAATGTCCGAGCATTATTGAATGAGACAGAGCTACTACTTAAGGGAAAAATGGCATTGGTGAGTAATGACATTTGTCTCGCCATGCTTAAGTTTATTTTTAAGGTCATGGTATGTTTATTCCATGTACTTTTTTTTTTTTTTTATTTTAGCTGTTTTACTAATTCTAATTTTATGCATATAGTTTAAAGCAGTTTCTTTTATGACAATGTTTTTCATGAGCATAGACATGATAGATACAAATGAGCAGAAATTTACATGTAAAATAAGGAATAATGTACAAAGAAAAATCTTGATTTGATCTCGCGATTTTGCTCTGAAGCTCCTGGATCCCCCTCAGAAGGAACAGCTGACGACATCACTCAGTAACACAGAGCAAGAGCTGCGGAAACTTACAGATGTCCCATGGCTATCAGTGAGTGATGAGGTGAGAGTTTATATCTGCTCTGTCCCATATTCGAGCCCTGTTTCCCTATGAAGGTCAATGCATGGAGAAGGGAGTTAAGTGTACCTCTAGCCAAACCATGTTTTATTGTCATTAGGATTTCCTTTTGCTTCCTGTTAAGGTGACAAGGTTTTTGCCAGAATATGAAGTGCAGGAATATCCCCTGAATTGGCCAAAGAAAGCAAAAGAAAGAAAAAGCTAAAACCCCTTCAAAACCTTTCCATGCTTCTAACTATAACATTAGAAAGAAAAAAAAAAAAAAAGCTTGGTCTATGAATACATTTTAAGAAGCTATAGGGCTGATCTAATAAAACTGAAGAGATGAAAAAAGCACCCTTTTCTAGTTATATCCAACAGCAACCAATCAAACTCTTGATTTGTTTGCTCAAAAATAAATGGTGAAATCTGATTGGTTCCTATTCGTTACAACTCCAGTTCTCTTCATATTTTTGATTCTTTTTAATGTAATGTTAAGTCCTTGGAGCAGACATTTTTGCACAGTGACTCATCATATGAATACACATTACAATCAGAATGAATAAAAACTCACAACAAGCAATTTCAAACTGTGTATCAATGAAAGAAGAGTGATCACCAGGGCAGTGCACAGCCTGGCAGTCAATAGGGAAAAGTTTTCAGGAGGAGAGAGCAGTGTGCAGTTCCAGGAATAGATAATAAGAGCCAAAGAGGAGAATGTGAAAGTGAGTGTGTACCCCAGGCTTGCCACCCCCCCCCCCCCCCCCCAGAGCACACACAACATTCCAACAGTAGACTGCATGCTTCCCTGCCAACCTACCATATGCACTGCAGTTCAGCCAAATTTGGTGGCTGCTGTATATTTTCGACACAGCTCTGGGCTGATCAGCAAGTTAGTCTCCCCTCATTTCGTTGTTTCACTCCCACAGCCACTGAGAAATGTTAAGAGTTTCCACCCCATAGAGCAGCTATTGAACTTAAAAGTAACACAAAAACACTGCACTTCGCATATTTATAGGACAATTGCTGCAATGGCTGAACCAGTAGTACCACTGTTTATGAGTAGATGGGAGAAAGAGAGTTGAAAACACAGTTGGGTGACCAGCAGAGAAAGATAATGTTTAGAATTGCACATGGAGTAGTGGATATGAATACAGTTGAGATGAATTACAAATTCATAACAAGATGGTACATTACATTTAGTAGAGCTCATAAGTTACACCCAGAGAACTCATTGTTTTGCTGGAGGGGATGTGGGAGGGAGGGCACAATGGTACACATGGTGGGAATGCCCCAAAACACAGGAATTTTGGCAAGATTTAGTCCAACAAAAAAGAGAAATGCCAGGAGAAGAAATAAGTAAAGATCCATGGGTGTGCTTATTTTATAACACTGACTTAACAGTAGAGCAATGTAGGAATATACAGTCAGGTCCATAAATATTGGGACATCGACACAATTCTAAAATTTTTGGCTCTATACACCACCACAATGGATTTGAAATGAAATGAACAAGATGTGCTTTAACTGCAGACTGGCAGCTTTAATTTGAGGGTATTTACATCCAAATCAGGTGAACAGTGTAGGAATTACAACAGTTTGCATATGTGCCTCCCACTTGTTAAGGGACCAAAAGTAATTGGACAATTGGCTTCTGAGCTGTTCCATGGCCAGGTGTGTGTTATTCCCTCATTATCCCAATTACAATGAGCAGATAAAAGGTCCAGAGTTCATTTTAAGTGTGCTATTTGCATTTGGAACCTGTTGCTGTCGACTATCAAGATGAGATCCAAAGAGTTGTCACTATCAGTGAAGCAAGCCACCATTAGGCTGAAAAAACAAAACAAACCCATCAGAGAGATAGCAAAAACATTAGGCGTGGCCAAAACAACTGCTTGGAACATTCTTAAAAAGAAGGAACGCACCGGTGAGCTCAGCAACACCAAAAGACCCGGAAGACCACGGAAAACAACTGTGGTGGATGACCGAAGAATTCTTTCCCTGGTGAAGAAAACACCCTTCACAACAGTTGGCCAGATCAAGAACACTCTCCAGGAGGTAGGTGTATGTGTGTCAAAGTCAACAATCAAGAGAAGACTGCTCCAGAGTGAATACAGGGGGTTCACCACAAGATGTAAACCATGGATGAGCCTCAAAAACAGGAAGGCCAGATTAGAGTTTGCCAAACGACATCTAAAAAAGCCTTCACAGTTCTGGAACAACATCCTATGGACAGATGAGACCAAGATCAACTTGTACCAGAGTGATGGGAAGAGAAGAGTATGGAGAAGGAAAGGAACTGCTCATGATCCTAAGCATACCACCTCATCAGTGAAGCATGGTGGTGGTAGTGTCATGGCGTGGGCATGTATGGCTGCCAATGGAACTGGTTCTCTTGTATTTATTGATGATGTGACTGCTGACAAAAGCAGCAGGATGAATTCTGAAGTGTTTCGGGCAATATTATCTGCTCATATTCAGCCAAATGCTTCAGAACTCATTGGACGCCACTTCACAGTGCAGATGGACAATGACCCAAAGCATACTGCAAAAGCAACCAAAGAGTTTTTTAAGGGAAAGAAGTGGAATGTTATGCAATGGCCAAGTCAATCACCTGACCTGAATCCGATTGAGCATGCATTTCACTTGCTGAAGACAAAACTGAAGGGAAAAATGCCCCAAGAACAAGCAAGAACTGAAGACAGTTGCAGTAGAGGCCTGGCAGAGCATCACCAGGGATGAAACCCAGCGTCTGGTGATGTCTATGCGTTCCAGACTTCAGGCTGTAATTGACTGCAAAGGATTTGCAACCAAGTATTAAAAAGTGAAAGTTTGATTTATGATTATTA